GTTAGGCAGGAAGACGCACAATGCGACACATATCAGTCTTTTTAGGCATCCCGCCATTTGTGTTGTATTGCTGCAGTTTCACTAGCACGAAGACAAGAAGTGCTTAAATTAGAGAGGGGCTTGACAGCCCGAATGTGTGAATCATTTGCTTGGAGCTTCAGTATCCTACTCCGGGCTGTATGCAGAAAGGGAGTTGGACAAACCCAGAGACGCAGTAGGCATGCAGTGTCAGATGCGATCAGGGGGCACTGATCTCTCCTGATTGTAGGACGTAAATGAACGTTTCCACTTTGCCTTAGAGCTGCAGAACTTCAGCGCAGGTAAGCAAGTCGATTCAGTCAGGGCTCGAATATCTGATGACGTTAAATAAACCTGAAATGGTCACTTTAGTGTTTCCATTTTTGTCAGTCCAAAGAACTCCTCAGTTTTTGATCACTCGTCATCATGTGATTGCCTGCGTGACCTGCAGGTCTCAGATTCAAGGCAGGATGTCAATGCTCATTCCCGTGCAGTAATCAGAATAGATCTGGGCACACCATTAAACTATGACCAAACACTCCTGGTGTCAGTCGAAGTGACACGGGCCGTTAGTGCAACGGCGAGAGCATTGTTGGATGATAAAATGGCCTCTGGGTTTTCATCTCTGATGCGCAGTCTGAGACTGAAGTACAGTGCCAACTCAGGAAATTTCAAATAAAATTCTAAAATGTGTTTTCGACTGGAAAAGGTTACTTTAGTAGGATTGTAATACCAATCACCGTGCGGCGTAATCCCACAATAATTCAGTTGTTTCAGGATGCCGGCTTTTGAACATTTAATCGCCGATGTGCATTCTGAGACAGTAGATGTGGTAACTCATGAAATGTTAACCGAAATTGTGAAATGCATTTTCGACTCGAAAAATTTACTAAATTAGGGTTGTGAGATAAATCCTCTGGCAGCATAATCCCAAAATAATTCAGCTACTTCAGGATGCCGGCTTTTGAGTGAACCTTGTTCTGGATGCCCGCGAAAACTGCATTCTGTAAAAAGTGACTACGTGAGTACATAATTTTTTCTACTGATTTTCGGTGTACTTGCTAATTCAAATGTATTTCATGGAAAAAAATGCATAGAAATAGTCATTCTTTTATGCACTTGGTAGAAAATTACGTCTTCTTCAAATTTTAACCCGAGGGAAGGGTACAATCCGGTTTTAAAGCATTTTTTAAATTCCTGAATAATTTTAAACCCGGCCTGCCGTTACACCTGCATTCAGGGTTTCAAAACCAGAAGTTAAATATCTTCTGTGTGTGAAAAATCGTGCATTTCACTACCGTATTTCGAGAAGACCATTTGGGGTTCACATAGTCTAGCTTTGGATTTAAGCCATATTGTAAACTTCACAAGCCGCATTAGTAAACGCAGTGGAACGATGTTTCATTAACGGTCATTTCACGGTCTTAGAAATCTCATAATTAGGAACTTTTTGAAACTGAATTACACCCCTCCATGAAGTAAAAAATTTGAAGGAGACGTAATTTTCTATCAAATGAGTAAACGAACGAATAATTTTTATGCATGTTCTCCACGAAATACAGTTGATTTTATAGATGTATCGAAAATAAATGGGAACATTTTACGCTACTTAAGTAGCAATTCTCCATTGGGTTTGATTTCTGCAGGCGGCCGGAAAGAAGTTCGTCCGAAGGTCCGCATCCTAAAGCAACTGATGTGCTATAGGATTATGTTGCATTATTATTAATACTCCAGCCTTTCAAACTAATCTTTTCGAGTCGAAAACGCATTTCACAATTTCGACTAACATTCCCATACCGTCCTCTTTGCTTTTACCCTCTCCCCAATCTGCTCGACTTAAAGTTGTGTTTGTGTCATCTGGTCATAAATTGATGTTATATATTTCTTAGAACAATTGTTACACCAACCCTGGGCCATTTCTAGTAATTATAGTACATCTTTTTTCCAGTAATATATTTGGGCACAGTACCCCAAGTAAATTATGCGAGTTCTTTCCAGACTTCTTTATGTGCATCCACCAGTCTTCCCTACAGACGCACTTACGGTGTCGTTCATTTCCTTAGCAGAGCGCTTTAAGTTGCACTAAAGGCGCACTGTTAGCCAAACCCGACAGAAAGGTTAAGGTTCGCAACACGTCCGCACAAAACATTCGCCTGATTTAGACTAGCATATCTTATACTATCCCCGCTTTCCTAAACCGAGCGGATTTTGAATTCTGCTCTTCTAACCTAACAGCGTTTTTAAATGAATGTTTTGATATTTGCTGTCCTCTTGCTACTGCAATGGTACGACGGGATAGAATTTCTTCAAAACTTCTTGTGGTTGGCCAACATTAATGCACTATTTGTGATCCACAGCAGTGGCACCCCGAACCAGTTCAATATGGTTCTCCATCAACCTGTTCACCCAACACTCCCACCTAATTCCCATTAAGGAGATCTTGAACTTTCGCGCTGGCCTGTTTCCCTTTTATAGGTGATTGGCAAATCTTATTTGACTGCTAGTCTATTTTTGGGAACTTTCGTCTTCGAAGTATGCGCCAATGCTGAAAAAGATTATTTTGACGATTGTCAAAAACACCAGCCAAACGCTCAACGAAGTGAGCAGTCTTCTTGTGTTAAAAAGCAGCAGCCAATGGGTGTGAAGCTGGTCTTGGTAATCAATACTTCTGGAGTCCGTTGGGAGCAATTAACGCGCGCCAGTTTTCTGGATGTTCGATAAGCCGCGCAAAAATGAAGCGACCTTTGGAGCATGAAACAGAGCTTCATCCCATCGATAAGAGGTCACTCTACGCCGACAGATTGACGTTTTGTATCTCTGGGGTAATGCGCGTAGACCAGGAAGGCCAGTTCTAACGGGTCTTTCGGCATTTTTTCCCATAACCGCACCTCAGATTAGTCATTGGTCATTCCGGGTCCGGATACATCATCAGAACAATTTTCACTAGTTGAGCACACCTGGGCATATCGTTTAGGCAATTCAGGGAAATAATGCATGGCAGTCCTTTATACATTCAGACGACCCAACTAAGCCCCTACTTATGCAGTTAAAATTAATAAACAATTGGCCATAGTAGAGAAAGGGACGAAATAAGCACCATTTACCAGTTCGACTGAATTATTACCGATGTTGTGCATGTGGTCATTGCCTGAGCCAACTTACATGCCAGTAATTTGAGCATCTACTTATTTTGAGTGTGTGGGGCTTTTCACTGTTCATTTTGATTTATCTTCGCTTTTTTAGAACATCAATTCCATAAACGTCTTCTAATCATTTACTTTTTTCTAGGCTAGTAATGTTTGACCTTTTGTTTAAAGTGTGAAATAGCACACTAGAAATGTTAGGAATGTCTGAAAAGCGGTATACGAAGGACACAGCCGCTCAATATTTTCATAGGAGTTCATAAGCTGCGGAAGATTATCCTTCGGGTTCTGATACACTGTTTCCCGGAAAAAATAAAAAAATAACTATTAATAAATAGGGACTTGAGTTGGTTGATCAAAAGACGCTCGCACGGAACACAAAACAGCTTCGGATCATACGAATGGGAACATGCATTCATAAAGTTCTCTGGATTCTCCAGCAATACAGTCGAACAGCGTCAGATTTCCTACTTTGTGCCTCTGTGAACTAGTTTGATGCCTCGATTTCAATTTGCACAAATACGGTTTGATACAAAACGTACACCACTAAATTCTACTTCTGGACCATATCCTATATCCATCTGTTAACTCAAAATGCAGTCTTCGAAGACCACCTACGATCTAATGCCAAAAATGCACGGGTCTGTTTAAAGCCTCCTCCGATCTTCGCCAGACGGACCGGTAATAACAGATCAGCAAAAAGTTCAGCACCTTTGTCTGGGTGAGGCGAGATATGTTGATGCTCCGTGCTTGTTTGTTCGCCGTCGGCGCCACTGTGGTGTTCTCCAAACCGGCTTTTTGAAGTGAAGTTGCTATGACTTTTTTATTTGAATTAACCACGCACTCGGGCATGGAATTGGAAATTTCCAGAGCCTAGAGCAAAACAGCTCTCAAGTCAGTGACGTGAGCCCTGGCCTCCTGTCACGCCTCACCACACCTTTAAGTGAAATGTAAACACCTTCTTCCAACCCCAGGTGTGTCAACCTTGGGGAAAAAAACCAGCGATGCCTCTCTGCAAGTTATTGTCTCTGCACATCGGCCGTGTACGTGGATTCCGGACAGAGCTGTCATGACAAGTACGAGTGGAAATCAGGGTGCATGTAGCGGACAAAGATCGCGTCTCGTAGCACTTACTGAGATAAAGTTCTAATTATATTTAGCCTACAGCGGTTTCCTAACCAAAATGGCTTGTTAAACTAAAAACGGCAGATTTCGACTAAGCATAGAAGAGTGGTTAGCTGACATCCTGTGCGGAAACGGGATTGCTCGGTTCGTATTCCAATTAATTCCTCGTTCATAGGTGTTATGAAGATATCAAATAATTCATTTCAACCCAATTGCGAGAAACTCGGTGCTTCGGTGAGATTCAAAGTCACAAAAGCAAGGGGGAGGTTTTAGTACAGCTAACGCTCTAGCCACCTGAGCTACGAGGCCCCACCGGACGGCGCAATTTTAATTACATTTGGGTCAAGTTTACCCGCCCAACCTACTGCAACTTCTGGATCAACCAAATTTGATACAGTAAACTGACTGTCCAAGAAGGATTTCCTAAGTAGTCATCTGATCGTGTTTGTCTTTTTCCGACATTGCGAACAAGCCCACCTCTAGAATTCTAGACGCTGACTTGTTATCGGAGCTAGAATAGCATCACAATTAACTAATTCACCCACATGTCACCTGCATGGGCCCACTCCAAGAGGCGCATAGTGAACGCCGTCATTCTCAGCGGTCGAACTGTCTCTGTTCTCTGCTGTTTGCTGACCCCATGTCAGCAGTAGTCCCCTTCCCACGGCCAAATGGCCGAAATATCAGTCGGATCAAACCACTTGAGCGCTCTCGCTACGGCTCGCCCGTGACGGCACGCCCCTCCAATGGCCAGTTGACGGTTCGACCGTCGGTTTCGACGATGTCCATCGTGGGGGGCAGGGATGGTGACTTGTGTAAGTGAATCAGTTTAAAGTGATGGTAGACGAGTACAGCATCTAGCACATTCTCTCCACCTCCCCCACCTGGGCCCACTGTCATGACCGAGTCAAGAAGACCGGAGGAGGAGGAGGAGGAGGAGGAGGAGGAGGAGGAGGGCGTTGGTGGCAGGCATGGCATAAATCCGCATCTACGCGTACCACCACACCCCTCGTCCACAACAAACACTTGGCAATAAGAGAAGAGTGGGACTGTCGTGGAGGTCACATTCAGAAGGAGACATTGCAGCCTGGCACCCAGTCCACCAGTCGACCACTCCCCGCAAGGACACACTGGGCCGACTGCAACGCTCAAGTTATCCCCTCAGTTGGTAACGCCGAAGCCACAGCTTTTAGTGCACCGTGATAGCTTCCAGCGCATCAGATTGCTTCTAGCGAGAAAAATGCGCTGAGTTGTCGACCTCACCCACTAAACCCACTGCTCGGGCAGGTCAAGTGTCTGGTACCGGGAGTGGGCGCAGTGGCTGGCACATCTAGTGACGTCGTCTGCACGTGCCACACACGCGATGTGACTCCCCGAACACAGACATCAGGACTTCACACAAGAGGGGGCGGTGGCATGCATTTCACATGCCAGAGTTCACTTTGAACAGGAGCCATCATGGGACCCACATAGTAGCTGGTACCCCTCGTCCCTCGACTTCGTCCCCTCCTGCTAATCGGAGAGACGAGGACGTGCTGCCCAGCTTACCCTCGTTAGGTGTCAATGTACGCACAGGCCACTACTGATGCCCTGAGGTAGCAGCGCGCTCTATCCAACACAGCTGTCAGACTATGCGTTTCGTAAGGTTGGAAATGCCTCTTTCGATATAGTACCAGTAAGTCAGTCTCGAGACGATGTCAGCATTTCTACTGATCTCATGCAACAATGGTCCCCTTTCTCGAACGGCTGCTTGTTCAATTTTCACCTCTTTCATCCCGGACCGATTAGACGATTCCGAGTCTGACGCTTACGGGTCATCGCCTCACATACACCAATTCAAACTAGCGGGCCTTCCTGACCTTTTGGCGAAATATGATTCATGCCTATAATGTGCAAATGTCTTTAGCTCTTTCACTTGACTGGGTCAGTTGGTTGCATCGATGAAGCCGATTCCGGCGTCCCATAATCAAGGAAGTCAACTCTGTTCACACTTGAAGTGGGTCCTACTCGGATTTCTGCAGATTTGTTAGGTTTGTTTGCAAACAAAGGGTTCAAAAGGATCATGGTGGTTGCCAGAAAAGAATGGTCTTTCATTTGTCTCCAGGTAAAGCTCCTTCCATCTTTTATTCAGACTTGCCCGCCTGCCAGTTAGACCACTGGCAGTCGTCTTCTCTGCGGCCTATTTTATGCAATACATCAGTGGAGTAAGATTTTGTTTCAGACCTCGGTAACGATAGGGTGTAGGACTCACAAAAATATGTTTAATCCAAAATATACCCTAAAATTCAGTGTGACTGTAAATATCACCGTCTCCATCGTTTTCATTTTCCTTCCCTTCCTAACTAAGTGTACACTTGCTAGCGGCGCTTTATTCGAAGTCCATTATTTTTGAAAATTGCTTTTTGTTTATTTTTAATTATCACGCTCGCTTTCTTTGCCGAATGACTGCGTTCGATAAGGCTTTCGGCAGATATTTACCTATTCTCTGTGTATTTTTGCTCTCCGTCCCGTGTGTTGCTCCGCCAGTGAAATCCCTTCTAACACCATCCAACATATGACACGATCCACAGGCTAGCTCAAGTTAGTTGGAGGTCCTACACACTATCGTTGTCCAGTTCTCTGCTGACTACACGGACAATTCGGATTTATGCCGTCCACTGGCGTTTTAACAATAGGGTTAGCCTCAATTTCGGTCGAATAATTTAATAGCTTTGCTGTGTGCGCAGGTAATCGAAGGTCACTGTGTCGAACGCCATGATGAGAGGACTCGCGGTGGATTTCCTGTTGCGGGCTTCAACTTTCCATTTTATTTATTTGTGGCTTCAGAATTGGCCAACACGTTTATAATACATTTGTTCTACAATTAATATACGGGTAGACGCCTGGAATTCGTGGCCGTCTCCCTAAATACAGGACTGAGAAGAAAGAACCCCGTCAGTTCGACCATTGTGACTGGCGATGTCCACCGTGTGCTCGATAAAACGTTGAGAGCAGGGACGATGACTTGCGCGGGAATCAATTTAAAGGTGACAGTAGACTTGCGCGGCATCTACGCACTCCCTTCCCCCACCCCCACTTGGGTCCGATGTCATGACCAAGTCAAGAAGACCGAATGATGGAGCGGTCGCAGGTGGATGACACGGTGAAAACCTGAACCTAGGCTACTCACCACACCCTCCGCTCCATAGCAAACAATTGACCAGGATTTTAAATAACAAAAATGGCCTGCGCGACGTGAGCCTGGGACTAGACCTTCCGCCACACCCGAGTTGTGGCATTTGTCATGGGTGCGCATTTCCGATAAGGCCTGGCAGAATCCGATCTACCACCATCCCTATTGGTCCAGCACATCTACCGCGTAGCCTGTTTTAGGATCCCAACCTCTGACAGGATAACGGAGATTTCGGGAACAGTTCTCGTGGACTGAACTGTTACGACAGACCACCACGGGAGCCAGGTCGAAGAAGAGTTGCCCTGTTAAGGTTGACCTGAACGCTGTCATACCGACGCGTGTTCAAGGTTACACGAGAGCCCCGACCGATGTCCGCCCAGTGCACAATCCCATCTCCAGTCGATCCGTATCGAACGTATCAGGAGTCGCAACGAATGCCCCAGTGGGCGCAGGAAATCACGGGGACTTTGCTTTAATCAGAGGGCCTGATCAGGAGTTTGCCCTGACAATTCGTTCCATCTGGAGGGATTTTGTCCTGAGAAAAAGAGGTAAGTGTTTTCCCGGCAAACAATTTTGAGTCTATCGTCCATCTTAAAGTTGCTGAAAGACATCTCACAAAGGAGCCTTTGAACGCTTTTTTGTAAGCTTACAGTGCAGTTTGCCGCTAAACGCGCACACCCTAATAAGGCATCAGAATGACTTCCCGATCAAGTTTCATTCCGATGTAAAACTTTGTGGGGACGCAGTGCAGAACATAGCTAGTAGTATCACTAACAAATTCAACTGAGACTTCAGTATGAACGCTCAAAGAAAGTCTGTAGACACGGGGGCATATTCGAAGATCTTTGAAACTGATCACGATGCCCATTATGGGGACCTTGGGCGGGCAGATTCAAGGACGCAGGACTTGTCCTGCTTGACACTGCCTTGTTGGTGTTAGAAATTAACGCATGCCACTTTTGTCCTTCGGAGATCTTACGGCACTAGATGGTTCTCGACCGGAAATCAGTGGCTTAGTATCGGCTGAGCTAGTTTGCCCGAATTATTAAAGTACTTTCATAAACGACCTCGCCATTTCGGCAGGTATTTATTCACACCTGACAAGGGAAAGGTGTGCAGTACTTGCCTTTTAAGTCCAGATAGAAAAAGTGTTTGAACCGCCAGGCAATAAAATTTTAGTCCTTTTGAGTAGGAGATAGTATTCTTCGCTTATTCCACTGACAGATAAAAATTGACGGTCTACCCTTCCTAGAAGTCCAGGACAGTCGAAGGCAAGGGAGGGCGACCAGCTATCGCCAGGCAACTGTTTAATGCTTCGTCCGCTGCCGCCCCCACTCTCTCGAGTGCGCAGCGGTGACTACCGGGAGACTTATGCAGTATCCACCTTTTTCTTTCTCCCACCCAATACTCACCTCCACTCCAATGAACAGAGGCAGGACCCGGCACGTTGACTGATATAGCTATTCGGTTCCACAGGTGTCTGGGGCCAAAGCGGGTATACGCGACGTCTGCCGACGACGCGCCCAATCAGCCCAGTTGTAACTCTGCGACCGACTAGGAGTCAGGCTGTATAGTTCCCCATCAGCCATGCCTCTGTGGTACTCTCAAACATGTAAGCTCTGAGCCGCCCGCCCTGGTGCGTGGTGAGAAATCAGATCGCGTGTAGCTCGCGCCAGCGGGTTCTCTAGCTTCGCCCGCCACTGTGCCCAATCCCGCGCCAGACAAGTGACCAGCTGAGACAGTAGACTGGTGCTCGAGGGTGGAAAAGAGGATAGACTGAGGTCGACTCTGAGGACTCCGTCCCCACGGAAATCCCCCTGCATACCTCTCACTATAAACCGTCCGAGGAGCCTTTTAACTTTCCCGGTGCGGTAACAGTCGGAGCTCGGAAGGCTGACAACTGACGCGATAACTCGGTCCTCCTCGCAAGGACAGAGAGTCAGGCTGCAGTGACTCCTTCCTGCTGGGCCGTCCTGGCACTTCCATCCCGTCGGGATCCGAGCTCCTGTGTTTGTGAAAACCTGGTCCATCGTGAGCGAAACAGACGTGTGCATCACGCGTAGCTCGGCCTCGCCCCTGGTCTCCTTGACACTGTCAGAGGGGTGGGGGTGGTGGGTGCATCGCAGGCCTACTATCACTACAAACTGAGTAAGTCACCGTGCCGCGCCAAACACGCTGTGAGGCATACGTCGGATATTGTCAGTAGCGATGGTCTAACTTCCACTGGCATCCTGACGGATCCCTTAAGTTTTCTACCGGGCCACAGTTGCAGTCTTACGGAGCCGTCTTCATATAGCACGATGGTTAAGAAACGAAGATGGATGCAAAAATAATAATTTCGCTTACAAAGATTGCTAATAACATCATTGGAGATAGTAAGCAAACGTTGGGGATAAAATGACAGATGTCTTATGGAAATCACGATCTCTTCTTCTACAAAGTAAATTTAGGCTAAAATAAGTACAGAATGGGGGTACAGAAGGCAGCCGATTGAGACGGGTTGACGCTCACAAAGGTAGTGAATTGTAAGCAGGGTAGGAAATGAGGCGGGAATGACACTTGTGTGTAAGCTAGCAGTCCAGAAAGGACGGTCAGAAAAGATTTTACAAGAGAAGAATGTGTGCGTGTGCATACTTGAGCCGCCCTTCGATTGAGGAAGTTAACTGCTGCATACAGACACGCACATTTCCTGACCGCAGGTCCTCAGGTTGCTGGTGTATATTACGGCGGAGGTATAGTGTCCAGTGAGAGGTCTAGTCGGAATTGTTCATCATGATAGCCAACGTTGACCAAGCTACACTCGATCATGACTAGAGTATTCTTTGTAAGTTTAGGGAAGGTGACAGCCACCAGGGGTGATTCATAATTCTCTTGGTTGATGTAGGGGAAGAATATGGAGGAAAAAGCTCCCCTATAAAATAAAAGTCACAACGTTTGTAATATGCTTTAATATTGTAAATGGCAAAATCAAATCTAAGCTCAACTATCCCATATGGTAAGTCTCATATGCATCCCCTGTGGGTATGATCTACTCAGATATAAGCATAGGTCCGACCAACTGCTTTCGCTTTCGCGGACCCCAGAACCCCCTCGTCCTCAGCATTAGGGGATGCAAACTGCCAGCGTTGGAATCCGTGCACAAAAGAAAAAATCCAGTCATGGCTTTGGTCGGATGCTTCCAAGTCGTTTACAAAAAGGGTGTCAAATATCCATATAGATGTGAGAAGCCTGCCTCTTGTTTGCTAGGATTAACCTGCAGCTTTGCTTTTAAAACACATCCAAGCGAAGGCGCCAACCAATTTTGATAAGAAGGGTGAAAGAATCTCCGCCTTATGTTTAACGCATAAAATCTACTTAACGAACAAATATACAGAATGCAATCAGTTTCAAGATTGTTGCGGCAGCATGAATAAGTGGACAGGGAAAAGATTTCATCGGAGTAGTGGAGTGGCCTAAGCAAAACTACATTTCTGTGATTTATAAAACACCCCAGGCCTTTTAAGACTAATAAGACGACTTCGCCGTGTGAAAGTAGGGCGGTTTTCACCTTTCCGAAGGATTTTACTGGTAAGCAAGCATACCGCTTCCTACATACTAGTCGTTTGCAATGACTCGACCCTAAAATTGCGCCATTAAGTGTAATTAGTAATCCCACTATAAAGTAGTTTGATTATACTAAACACCTTGGGCAAACAGTGTCGTAAAAATGGGTTTTTGGGTCAGAACACGATTTATTCTTTTTTTTCTAGTGCGCACAAGAACTTTTATAAGAGTAGTATTTTAAAAACCCCAAGTAAATCGGTCCCACACAGTTTAACTGGTAAAAATCATGTGAGAAGGGGCTGCCTAACGGAAAACTGTACCACCTGGCATTAAGTTTCGAAATTTTAGAAAGGACGCGTAAGCAGCCAAAAAACTGATACTAGAGTTCTTCTACTGCATGAAGAAGGTAGGAGTGTCGAATCCGAAATCCTGATGGGACGGGAAAACTTGGCACTTCATGAAAGAAACGTTGAACTTACATTGAGTTATTTCCTTTTGCTGAAGGGTGGTATTCCGGCTCCCCAAGCAGCTCGCCGTCAAAAGAGTTCTATAAACAAAAATAACAAATTAGTAAATGGGAAAATACAAAAAACTCATTATCTTATGCAAATTCCCGTAACCAAAAATGGCATCAGCAAGCCATTTGGTCGAACAGGTGCATGGCAAATCATACAGAATGATAATACGTACTGCTGGACCACATCGAATTGTAATTTCTGTCCCGTTGATGTCTGGAAGCCAGCCATAGACCTAAAAATCAAAACAAAGTTTACCAAAAAAATTTTCCTAACATCACTAATTGATGAGCAAGGGAAGTTAGTTGGTGTTGGGCAACACTGCCTAAGAAACTTACAAAGCTAAGGTTATTCCCCATTACTGATAAAATGCATTATCAACTGCAAACAAAACTACACATACCTTGTTAAGTTTCACATAAATACAGATATTATCCTGTTCAAGCACGCTCTTCGGGTCGGCGCATGGACCGAGAAGAGATTTGGGGAAACGACAGACGTCTCTAACGTCACCACTGGGGGGAAGTGGCTTGGACAAATCGCAGTTCCGGCTATTTCCATAGTTTTTCAAGAATTCTTCAGTTGCGTTAAGATACCACTTCCGCGTGTAGCTGTCGAATGTAGATACTTGAAGGAGTGGTCTATCGACATCAACTCGCGGCAAATATCCCAGCCCTGCTCGATTTCATGAGGTTAAAAAAATAAGCGAAAAGACGGTAGTTAACCGATAAATGTGTCAACAATGTAAAGGAAACAAGAAGAATGTTAGACTTGTTTGGCCGTCCTATAACTCTTTGAATTAGTGCAAAAACTGTCCACTGAGAAAGACTTCTTTCACTCCTTATACAGTTGTTCGGACGTCCATAAGGCGCTCGCACTTTTAAATTTCGTGGAACTGCAGAGGCCCGGAAACCTGACCGAAGCGCAACGTTTGAACTTAATGCACGCAATATACTTGGATAAAAACACGACAAATATGTCTTGCAAGTGTTATTTAAATAATTCTATGTTGTTTTCTAGCCTAAGGTTTCCCACTCCTACATTCTGTAGCTTAAAGCACAGTCCGGATTCTACCAACAATAAAATTTGCTCAATTTTTTTTCACTTTTCCGCAGTCCACGAGGAAGACGGAAAGATGGCAGTGAACAACAGAGACATAGCCATATCGATATCCTCATAGCACCAAAGCAGATGGGGCTCAGGCACTATTTCGTTGGTAAGTGTCAGAGCCCGGTACTTGGTTTATGCTTCAAAACCCATTCTCCTCATCTTTACACATTTACCATTCGAGCGGATGCTGCACGAGCTGATAGCTGGGCTCTCTTAAGTCCAGAAGTATGCAAAACACAGATTTCTAAGCGGTCATCTGAATGTTCGCATTTGCTCCGAGATAACCTCAGTTATGACTTTGCAGGCGCAGCATGCTCAGACTGCTAGGATTGACAGTTCTTAGGGACTTTTCAAAAGTGCATATGATTCCTTAAGGTTGGTATATCAAAGATGCGGATTTTCTGGTGCTTGATTTTGGAATCCAGCAAAATTCAGACTAGAACATGCCATCTAATCTACTGAATTCTGTATTCTCAAGAATACTACACAGTTAACTCTGTAGTGTTCTTGCGAATATGCACAGAACATAGAAGTTATTACCTGGATTGAGCTTCAAAAGGCTCTGCATTCCAGTTAAGGATGGGACTGTATTGCTCAAAAGACCATAGATTAAAACCGAGAGCATTCCAGTGAAGAACCCAGCAAGACATGTGTAGAAAACAAGGAAATAGATGAAGATGAGGGCTACAACCAAAGGTAACAGGTAAGAATCACAACAAACCCCAGCTTTTGCACGTTCGACCGAAAAATGAGTTTTTAGAGGGATTGTAAATAAAGCGACCAAACTTATGACAACCTTCTGCGCACCGACCCATCTTCAACGACTACCAAACCAGACAAGGTATTTTAGAGTCATATTCTTGGTACGGTTAAACAAATCAGTGTCACCGATAGGGTAAGTAAAAGTTCCAAGAACGTTTAGTCGAGCAATCAAGTTCTTACGCAAGTTTCCTAATTTAAGTGCCTTTCTGATAGGTTCTGAGAGAGTTACGAGCACAAAATTAAGTCCGGGACCGGGCTGAGGTGACGCGATTAACTGTTTAGCCCAAATGGAGAAAAATGGGTCGAAAGTGTGGTAGTAGCTGTCAAATGATCGCAAGTAAGCGTACGACAACTAGGATAAGGTAGGATGAGATAGCAGGTGTAACGCTGGTTGAAACAGGGAAGTCGGCTAAAACCATAACAGGAGATCTCAACTCACAAGGAGCTGAGTAGCGGACAAAATTTACAGATAAACCGAACGGTATTAAAACTCCCACAGAATGTCAAAAAGCGGACACACAAGAACAAATAAAGAACATTTACGGGCACAAATTTAAGCTAAATGGCGATGAGTTACGCTAGTTACGAACTCTTGGAGGCGCGGAGGAAGCCAACGCCCTTTCGTGGACTATTGCTTTTTCACCCGGTGTGGCCTTCCGCGTGATATCATAGCATCTCCTGAGTGCTCCATTCTCATGCTTTTCAACTACTTTCTCCCCTGGCTCATTCCGTGAGTTCACAAGACACTGCGCAAATGCTATTTACTTGTGAGTGCACACGTGGCAACAGCCAGTTTCGCAGATGCATGTGAGGGCGTAAATCGAAGAAATATGTTCGTCGGTCATTATATTGACTAATTAGTGCCGTCAGCAAAACTGTCTGCGGCCTTCTTTAGGCTCGTTTTGACCGACTGAGCACCTTCGATGCGCCTCAGTTTCGCCGAGTCCACAGACGAGAACCTGACTTCTTTAAACATCTCTACTTAAATGGACAAGGTAAAATAACTACGATGATTAAAACCATATTGGTGAGTTTTTCTAGAGACTTTGAGCTCAAGATATTTCCTTGTGCATCTTCACAGCAGTTAGTTAGTCATAGTTCATCGGTTCACTTTTTACCAGGAGAGGAAGTTCCAAAGTTAACGCCCGAACCCTCTTGGCCAGTTTGACTACTGACACCAGCCAGGAATTCTAGGATAAGAAGATAATTCAGTATACATTTATTCAGTTCAGTGTATTTGAGAGAAATAAGCTTACGCATTTGACTCCTTATTCGTCAAATAAAATCGAAGGAATCAGCAGTAATGTTAAGAAACTACTTAACCGAGTGAGTGTAGACCTGGATTCACAAAAGCCACTGGTTTTGATAGCTGCGCAGTCAAACAGTCTGCTTGTTGCTGCAGCATGTGTCTGTTAATGTGATGTTTAAATGTTTCCATAGGTCTAGATATTGTAGACGCATCGAGCAGGTAATTTCACGGTTCCACGACACGGTCAGGGAAAATATACCTCCTCACATTCAATCCTCCTTGGGGCGTACGCGGTTTGAAGGAATGCCCCGGAGGCTTATTGTAGTAAGGAGTTTAAAAAGTCATCATACCGGAGGGTGCGGTCCAAGCCGCGCGATGCGGAAAGTTTTAATCAAGTCTCCGCGCGAATGCCTCAGAGGAAAGAGATAACGTTTATTTATTCAGATCTCGCATGGCAGTGCACAGTGAGCTCTCACTAACTTTGTTGCTCCCATCTGCACTCTTTCGAGTAGATTGTTATCCTGCTACGCCTGTGGCGTCGGAATTCTTGAACGCTGATTTGTGTCACTGTCCTTCTGTTCACATGGCGCACCTGATTAATTCGCTGACTACACTATACGACATTTGCCACAACCCCCCTGTGATCTTGAAGCCATTCAACGCTACACTTTTGCTGACTTGTTACCGGCGGACACGTATATTAATGGGTAATAACACCAAGTGCATAAACACGGGAGGCCGCTTTTGCGAACGTGACTCTACACGTACGACATAGGCGAACACGATGAGGCAACACGACAACATCTGGAGGTGACTGATTAAAGAGTATTTTGTACGCTCTTTCACTTTAGAAAAGCCTGTCCAACCAAAGGGCCTTCTCCGACTTCTGATTAGGGAACCTTAGTCTAGTCGGCCATCACCTCTTGACAGGCCCAAGGTCCCCAGGCCCGGATCGCATGTGTATGATATGGCCTTGAAATGTGCCTAAGACTTTGGTGGAGAATCCGTCATCAAAGGCTTAAATGCCCAATTGATGGCGTATAATATTGAAGATGCGGGTCTAGCCGCCTTACAACATTATGCATAAGGCTTTGGAGTATCTGTAACTCACATTCCGAGATCTTTCCGTAGTTCTGTTTCTTGAAGTGGCATTCCGTTCAGGTCGTAGGGTCACGTATTAGGGACCTGATTTAGATTTCCGATACGCCGTGAGGAGCCATCTTCGAGACCACTAGTCCAATCGACGAATATTTTCTTGGAAGATGGTCTCGTCAACAGCATGTTGGATGACTTTCCACAATTTTATATTATTTGAACACATGGCAAACCACAATTCAACTCCTATACACAATCACTAGTGGGCAATAGGAAGAAGGTCGATCCAAGCATTGAGCCTTGTGGGAATCTCCCCTCTATGACTGTGAACCTCGACTGCCGTTTCTCCACACAGTAAATTAAGGAACGATCGACAAGGAAATTCTCGATACATTTAAGAACAGTGCCTTTGATACTCATCACTCTCAAATTATAAAAGAGACGTTGGTGTGGAAAACTGTCGAACGCCTCCCAGAAGACGATGCAGGCCACATGTACAGTGCGCCTAGCATCGAGTCCTCTTTTTCAGCTTTGCATCGTACATAACGTACAAACACGATCAACCCCATAAAGGCTGTGTTGTGTATTGGACGAGAGGTTGTACGTTTCCAAATAAGAAATCAACCCCTTTTTGGTGGCCTTCTCCATGACTTCGCAGCCGACTGGTGTCGGACTGACGGGTTTGAAGCTCGTCGTATGAACACGACTACTGCTTTTGTTAAGCGGTATACAGTGGGCTATTTTCCAGTCGAACGATTAAGCGATTTTTTCACGGTAAGAATAGCGGTTTTGCCAGCTCTCGGGCAAGTTCATACAGCGATTTTGTCCTTTGAAAATCGCCTCTTTTCGAAGCACAATCGATCTCTTCATCCTCTCGTAACTGGGTAGAATAAAAACTACTTCTCTTGTAAAAACAGACTGGAAGATGTGAGAAAAATGCCCACGTTCATTTGTGCTCTGTGACGTCTCTAAACCCTCATCATTTCTCATGAAAAGAATCGGACTCCTGTCACATCTGTGCTCTTCGAAGAAGCCGTAAGCAACTATGGGGTTTTTAACGGTTCGGTTGAGCAAATAACTCTCGAAATCTTATCGTTCCTTGTAAATCAAGCCATCTACCATGTCCTTTTGAACCTAGTATCCTATAAAGTCTGCAGTGTTGGTGTTTACGCAAAACCTCTTCCACAGACTTCGTTTAATGTTGACCTCCCTTTCGAGAGCTCGTGTTAACCGCTTTGGTTGGATGGATATCCTGGACTTTGATAAGAAGCAATGGCTGTTCATTGAATGCAAAACGGATCCTACAAAAAATTTCGGTCCCGGAGAAGAGAACATCCCGGTATGTTTGTAATTCTGCCGCTCTCTTGTAGCAAAAGTGACTCTGTCGTAAACTTGCCCATGTCTCATGTATTGCAGACGGTGCAGAATATAGTTCGTACTTCCATAGAAGTAAAAAACGGTCACATAGACCGGGCTGAGCTAGGCAGTATACCTCGTTTATACTGTAAGCCTCTTCGGCGAAGAAGAGATCAAACAGCTACTTTGTTGCCCTCTAATGCTATATTTAGAACAAGAACATACTGCGTAAGGAGATCTTCTAGTGTTGTCTTTAGGAAACGGTGCTAGAAAGTATGCTTTCAGTGCTTCGTATGCATACTGTTCCACTGAATTCAGGGTGTAATAAATTTCCCCACTAGGACAAAGTCCGGCCGACTGTTCATCTCATTTATGTTTTCCAGCAGACAAATCCATGGGTCGAGGTCCGTCTGTTGTGGTGGTGATGGTGGTG